GGTAATGTAAAAAAGGAATACAAATGTTTTGTTAAAATGGCTAGTATATTTTTTTTAAAAACCCTAAACTATTAGCTTTAAAACAACTGTCTGTTTTTCACTGAATCTAGAGAGAGAGTTCTGTTAGTTTTACTGTGTGTACACCTTGGTAAGAAAAACCAAAGCAGCCTTTATTTATYAGCAAACCCAAATATTCCATTGCCTTGCTGAGCTTTGTGAAGTCAGGATCTGAAAAATTCTTAAACATAGACACGTTCAGAAGATCCTGCATGTCTTCAGGGAGTTTTTTTCACYTTCCAAGTCCATCCCTCCACCTCACCACACCTGTCCTATAGATCAAAACAGAGTCTGCTGACCAGTGTTTCTCTTGCTATGTACTTTCATTGCTGTCTTTAGCTAAGGTTAATAATTTATTTATTATGTAAAATATATCCTACACACAGTATTTTTAGGATTTGGGGTAATATTAACATTCATGAACACTCTTCTTTGTTAGTCACTAAGAGATTTTAGGATTATGCGCTTTCATAATTTTTGCACAGTGGATTTTGACAAATATCAAACTGCAAAACCTTTTCCTTCAGAAGCTGYCTATGTAGTAGATTATTTACAGGTCACCTTTTTTCTTGCTCTGTATTTTTCTGCTTGCCTCAACACTTCAGTATAATCAATTCATTCAACTCTTCGTGAAAACAGAGCAGAATCAACTTCAAACAACTCCTGCCTTCTCCAGATAGCTCTCATTACACAGTTCATGGTTTCTGTGGGTACATATTAATCAATACAGAATGTAAATCCAAATGGAGGTTATTCAAGATGTTGCACAAGCTTGCTGCAGTCTCCCTCATGCATGTTGTGTTTTGAAAAACTTGCAAGAGATAGGATTCATCTTTCTGTCAACCAAAGCTCTGTTTTGATTGGGAGACTCTTTTTTTTTCTGTGTGTAACTAAGGAGTTATGCATGAGTTTAGATCCAGTGGTTGAATATCTGATCCAATATTWAGTGAATGGAAAGTGATGGAAGCTTTTTTKCCAGTGATCTGTYATATGTGAACAGGAGGTATTTGGAGCTTTAGGTATTTAAAACCATGTTTTCAGATTATGTTTTCCACTGCAGGCTTGATATGAGAAGTGTGGGAAATGGTGCAATGATTTCTACATTTGTGAAAACCAATAAAAGATAAATGTCTGGGAATATGAATCCAAAAAAACCTGACATGGAAATGGGTACTTGACCACCTACATARTTTAATTTAAGTCTAACAGACTTTCTGGGCTTAACTGGTAAAGTGATTTCATCATCTCACCTGTCTATAGATGTTGTGTGAAATTAGGAAGTCCTTTAACAGGAAGGGCACCTAATGTGAGAATTATTTCACATTATGCCATCTCATAAAAACAGAGCATGATTCAATTATTCCTACATTCCATCTGTGGGGGCAGCACTGGCAGTGCCTCACTTTATGGCCTAAGATCAGAGTTWAATCCCAGTGGAAGACTTTTTTGTAAGATAGTTATTGAGTGGTTAAGTGGCTGTCACAATTTCAGCAACRTGAAATTCTGTAAACTGTACTGCAAAGGCCAGTGATGGTTCTGCCAAAAGAGGAAAAGTCAGCCACAGTCCAGTTTTGTGTATTCTGACCCCACAGCAAACTGGCATATAGCTCATGTGAAATCCTTATTGTCTCTGCTTAATGGTATTTTAGGAAAATGGGTACCTATTTTATTTATCTGTTAAGACACATAATTTAAACCTGTTAAAAAATGCATTAAAAATGAAATCTAATTATGGGGCAAAGAGAGAGAAAAGGATTCTGCAAAGATAATAGGATTGTTGGGTTTTTTATAATTGAGAAATAGGAGAATTGCATCTGCAGTTGACTAAGTGCAGATGTTTTAGATTTGTTTAACGCACCTATGAATTGCGGTGCAGATAGACTGACTCCTCCATTTCATTAGCATTTTGGCTGTTTGGGATGTGCCAGCTAAATGCAGCCATCCTC